TACAAAAAGAGTAAAACAATGCAAAATACAAATTTTGTGAATGCACAAAATAACTCTTAAAAATTATCATGGTGTTACTATGTTGTTTTTTTTTTTAACAAGATAAGATACCCTAGCAGTATAACATGTATCTCACATGCTTAGCCTAACTGTCACAGTAACACAGATCCAATAATTTCCTGAGGAATGTAGATAAACTTTACTATGCCAGAGAATGAGTTCCCAGGTATACTTTTAGAAATTCTGGGTCAGAATCAAATATACACATTAATTTTCTATTACAATAGCTAAGATATTAATTTAGTTATTATTACAAAATGATATATTCGATAATAACATAACCTACTTTTCACCTTGATAAGGCAGCAAAAAATCAAGAGGGGAGTACATTTTATTGTAAAGTTCCTTAAGAGCTTGGACCCTAATACCACAGCAGTGTCTTTAAGTGTAACTCTGCTACTTATTAGTTGTGACCTTAGATAAATGTTGTAATATCTGTACTTCCTAGTTTTCTCATTTGTTAAATGAAAATAATTATAATTACCTACACTAGTAATGCAACTCTTAGGACTATTATGAGTATTATTGGGTTAATATATACATATATATACCACCTAGAAACAGTGGCTAGCAAACAGTAAGCACAACTGAAAATTAGTACAACCTCCATGGAAAACTATGGAGATTTCTCAAAGAACTAAAAGTAGACCTACCATTCAATCCAGCAATCTCAGTATTGGCTATCTACCCAAAGGAAAAGAAGTCCCACCAACAGTGTATAAGCATTCCTCTCTCTCTGCATCCACACCAGAATCTATTGTTTTGGACTTTTCAATGAAAGCCATTCTAAATGGGGTAAGGTGATATCTCATTGTGGTTTTAATTTGCATTTCCCTGATGATTAGTGACATCGAGCATTTTTTCATGTTATTGTCCATTTGTCTTTCTTCTTTTGAGAAGATTCTGTTTATGTCTTTTGCTCACTTTTTAATAGAGCTGTTTGTTTTTTTCTTGTGTTCTTTGTAAATTCTGGATATTAGGCCTTTATCAGATGTGAAGCTTGCAAATATTTTCTCCCATTCTGTAGGTTGTCTATTTGCTCCATTGATGGTTTCCTTAGCAGAAAGTTTTTAATCCAATCAAATCCTAATTATTAATTTTTGTTGTTGCCATGATTGCACTGGGGTCTTAGTCATAAATTCTTTGCCTAGGCCAATATCTAGAAGAGTTTTTCCTACATTTTCTTCTAGAATTCTTATGGTTTCATGCCTTAGATTTAAGTCTTTTATTCATCTTGAATTAATTTTTGTGACTGGTGAGAGATAGGGGTCCTGTTTCATTCTTCTGCATGTAGCTATCCAATTTTCCCAGCACCATTTATTAAATAGGGCTTATTTTCCCTAATGTACATTGTTGTCTGCTTTGTTGAAGATCAGTTGGCTGTAGGTAGATGGTTTTATATCTGGGTCCTCTGTTCTGTCTCATTAGTCTATGTCTCTATTTCTGTACCAATACCATGATGTTTTGGTTACTATAGCCTTGTAGTATAGTTTGAAGTGTGGTAATGTGATGTCTCTAGATTTGTTCTTTTTGTTTAAGATTGCTTTGGCTATCCAGGCTCTTTTCTCATTCCTAACAAAGTGCAGGATTAATTTTTCTAGATTTGTGAAGTATGACTTTGATAATTTGATGGGAACTGCATCGAATTTGTATAATAAATCACTTTGGGTCATATGGACATTTTAACAATGTTCATTCTACCTATCCATGAGCATGATATGTTCTTCCATTTGTTTGTATCCTCTGTGTTTTCTTTCCTCAGAGTTTGGTAGTTCTCCTTGTAGACATCTTTCACCTCCTTGACTGAGTATATTCCTAGGTATTTTATTTTCTTTGTAGCTATTGTGAATGGTGTTGAGTCTTTGATTTGACTCTCAGCTTGACTGTTATTGGTATATAGAAATGCTACTGATTTATGTACATTGATTTCATATCCTGAAACTTTGCTGAATTTATTAATAAATTCCAGTAGACTCTTGGTGGAATCTTTGGGGTTTTCTGGATACAAGATCATATCATCAGTGAAGAGCAATAGTTTCACCTCCTCTTTTCTATTTTGGATACCCTGAATATTCTTCTCTTGCCTGATTGCCCTGGCTAGGACTTCCAGCACTATGTTGAATAGTAGTGGTGACAGTGAGAATCCTTCTTTTGTTCCAGATCTTGGGGAAATGCTTTCAACTTTTCCCCATTCAGTATGATGTTGGCTGTGGGTTTATCATATATATGGTTTTTATTATTTTGAGTATGTTTCTTCTATGCCTAGTTTGTTGAGGATTTTTATCATGAAAGGGTGCTGGATTTTGTCAAATGGTTTTTCTGCATCTAGTGAGATGATTATATGGTCTTTGGTTTTGCCTTTCTTTATGTGCTGTATTCACGTTTATTGATTTCTATCTGTTGAACCATCTTTGCATCCCTGGGATGAAGTCCACATGATCCTGGGGGATTATTATTATTTTTTTTTGATGTGCTGTTGAATTTGGTTTGAAAGTATTTTATTGAGGATTTTTGTATCTACATTCAGAAGGAATATTGGTCTGTAGTTTTCTTTTTTTGTGTGTTCTTTCCTGGCTTTGGTATCAAGGTGATACTGGATTTGCATTATAGAATGAGTTGGGGAGAATTCCCTCCTTGTCACTATTACAGAATAATTTCTGTGTTATGGGTACTGGGTCTTCTTTGTAGGTTTGATAGAATTTGTGTA